CTTTCAGGAAGGTCCCGCGGCACCGGCCTGTCCCCGTCGGGTGTTTTTGCTTTTTAATGCAGTCTGCCTGCCCGCTGCTGAATCTGGCACGGCAGCAAACACCGACCGCTCTGCGGTTGAGACAAAAAACTGCTCTGCTTCGTCGCAGACTTTCATTTTCAGTCTCTGCTTTCTGTGTTCTTTTCTCTTGCTGTGCCGCAGGATCTGGTGGCGATTTTGGCGCCCGAGGCGGCAGGCGGGGCCCCTGGTCCGCCTCCGCCCGGTTCTGCATCTGCCCCAGCTAGTACCGCCGATCTTCCGGGTCTGCCTCTGAATCTGCCCCCGTCCTTGGCTGACACCCAGCCGTTTATCGTGGATCTGGAGAACCAGGCTTCTTCCGCCATCCTCTCCTTCTGTGCGGTCCTTGGCTGCACGCTCACCGGGCCCATCCCCGGGCGCCTCATCGGCTTCCTGGTCTATCTTAGCGGGGCCCATGTCGGCACCGTCTTTTGCCCCTCGCTCTCGTTGGCATGCTGGCTCGATCTCGTGTTCCTACCGCCCTCGGGGTTTCGGCCTCCCACCGGCCTCCCCCGCTGTCTCTCCCTCTCCTCCCCCCTCTTCGTTTCGTCCGGCCCTGCGCGTTGACCTGCCGGCAGAGGCTCCCCCTGCTTTCAGGAGGTTCAGGCCTATCCCTCAGGTCTCCGCTGCACCTTGCCAGACGTCTGTTACTCTGCCTCTGCCCCCGGCTCCGTTGGAACTCAAGCTGACGGCCTCAGCCACCCAGAGTATGTACCTTGCCGGCTCTTCCTCGGAATCTTCTGCCTCCCAAACGGATCAGCAGTATGCCACCTTGCTGGTTCGGTGGCGGGAATTCCTTTCAGAGCTCGGCTCTGCGTCTGCCCTTGACATGGAGGCTTGCGCCTCCCAGAACCGGGACTTTCTCCTGGACCGGGCTGCCAGGAAGTTTGCTCCCTCTACACTTTTACGCTATTTCGATGCCTGGCTTAACTGGTCTTCGTTTTGCAGGCTGGCTCAAGCGGCACCGCATGATCCTTCCTCCGGGTCTGCTTCCCGACTGGCTCAAATCTCAATCTAGCAGACAAGGGCTGGCTACGATGCAACTCCGAGCCCTTGCGTGGTTTGTTAAAACTGCCGGGCTACCCAAGCTCAAATCCTGCCTCTGCACTCCCATCTGCCAGGCTTTTTCTGTTGCAGGAGCACCGAGAAAGCCTGCCTCTGAGTCTGAGCTTTGTCCTGCACCTGGAGAATCTGTCCTGGATCCGCTTTCCTCACCGGCTGAAATTCTGCGTCTGGGCTATTTACTGCTCTGTATTTGGGGCCCATTGCGGTGGGGCGACGCACTCTGGTGCCCGCCCACCCGTCTGCATTACCAGCCTCGGTCGCATGCGCTTGTGGGCATCTGTCTCCGCACCAAAACCACCAAACGCGGCATGCCGTTCGGAGTTTTGGCGGCCGGGCTCTCCGGCACCACTTCACAATGCTGGTCCCTTCGCTTTCTCAGCGTCTTACGCCAATCAGTGGCCGATACACTGGCGATCAATCCCAATCGCCACCTGGACTTTCTGCCATCAGCCTTGTCTGGCTCGGAGGCTCGTCCCATCCTTTCCGCTCCCCTGAAACGGGAGCGTATGGTCCTGTGGCTGCGCGGTCTGCTCCTTAAGCACTGGCGCTTGTTCAGTCAGGACCCCGCCCCCGCCGCTTTTGGCCTTGTTGCTGCACACTCACTTAAGTGCACGGTTCTGTCTTGGGCCCGCCAGCTGCATCTGGACTCCGACCTTCGGCGCATCCAGGGGCACCATCGACAGTCCGGCTCTGACCGTTCTGTCTCCCTTTACAGTCGCGATGACATCTTGCCCATGCTGCGGCTGCAACGCCTGGTGGTCGACGCTGTGCGCTCCGGTTTCCGGCCCTTGCAGCCCATGGCTCGGGGCCTGAGCGAGCCCCTGCCTGATTTCCGGTCGTGCTGCCATCTTCAAACTCTCTACCGGAGTTAGG